CCTTGCGCCAGCTTGGGAAAGGAGCTGCTATCAGGACCCTGCTGCTTTATGACTCAGAGAAGCAGAACCTATGTTTCTCTTCCCTGCCCTTTTCCTGGGCCTTTTCCATGAACAACGACACTTGTAGTGTTGTTGGTGGCACTTTCTGTGTGGGCAGTGCTGAGCTCTCACTCAGTGGTTGTGCCCTTGGGCTAAGTACTCCTGGGCATGGTATCCAACAAGGCTGGGCATGAATTCCTCATTCACTGCTCACAGATAGAGAATGCAAAGAGAAGCAGTAATAAAGGCACACACATTTATTAGGCACCTGTTAATTAATGTACCAGGTACTGTGAGAAATGTGAACATCACAATGTCAGTATGAAGATTAGATGAGCTGTAAGGCAAAGGGCTTAGAGACTGCCAGCTGCTGCTATTATTTCTACTCTGAAAAACAAAGATTGAAGTTTGTTTTAAAAAAAGATGTATGCAGTCTCAGAGTAAAGTAACCAAGAGCTGGGCTGATTCCAGAAAATATCACAGAGCAGGCAGAATTTGACTTGGTCTTGAAGGACCGACAAGACTTAAGTAAAAATGGAGGAAGACAAAAATAGGAGGGGGCTAATGGGAAAGCTGCTCACCAAGGTGACCTATTACTGTCACCTCTGAAGAACCAACAGAGGTCTGTTGTCTTTGATGGGCCTCAGTCCAAGTTGGGGGTGGGGAGGTTCCAGGGCTAGTGGTGGCAGGGAGGCCTTGCCTTCTGCCTAACGTAAGAAGGTGCCCCTGGGCCTGGGGGTACCACACTCAGGGGAGGCAGCTCCAAGACTGATCAGCAACAGAAGAGACTCAGCAGGAGTCCCCACCAATCCTTCATTGCTAGTCCAGCCTCAGAACCTGTCTGCTCTTCCCTTTTAAGGTGAGAAGAGTTTCTGTCACACTTTGCATTCAAGCTGACCTCCAAGTCCTCTGTGGCCTTGGATAGCTGTCATGGAGTGGCCAGGGAGGGACTGGGGCAATTCCAGGCAGAGCACAGGCATCAGCTCAAGTACCGGAGCCCATAGGGTTTCCAGAACAAATAGACATTGGTGATGTGGACACTGGCCCACAGTGTCCATGGTGTTATGGATAAGATGAGACAAATTCGCATGGACTACTGAGTCCTGTGGAGAAAAAGGGATGGCATTGCCACTCTCTCAAGGAGAGAGCACCCCAACCCTTGCCTTGACAGGCTTTTATTGGCTTTCTAATAGCATACATTAAAGAAGGTTTTCATTTATTATGCTTAGGTTTGCTTTAGGTAATTACATTTTACAGATAGCAATGGAAAGGATGTTACTGATTACCTCTTACAGATTAACAAGGAAGAAATGTTGCAAATGCAAGGGAACAATAAGAGTAATTGGTCTGGTTACACTTTAATCCTTAGGAGAATTAGCACAAACTTCAGGAATTTACTTTAAAGATATGCAGTAAACATTTTCTGTTTCAACTCAGGATGAGGGATATTTAGCAAGAGCAAGTCACAAAACAGCCTAGGGATAATGCAGGCCTGATTTCCCATGGAGGAACTGATCTGTGGGTTTGGCATCCCACATGCCACCATGCGCCTATGGGCTTTCCCATAGGGCTGAGCTACATTTGCCATTCCACATGAATAGGTTCCCTATACATTGAAGCTCCTGGACACTGGAATATATCCTTGCAAGAAGCAGTGGGGTTGTCCCTGCCTAATCTCATGTGCTCCCAAACAAATAAAGGAAGTAGTGGGTTTGGAAGCATCCACAGGACACTGGGACCAATACCTGTGGGCAGGAAAGCAGTTACCTAGAGAGTCCTATGGGCAGGGGACCCTGGCTAGAGTCTCCTCTGCTTTTCCTCTGCAGAGCATCTGTCCAAGCTGATCCTTAGGTACTTCCAGGGACTGAAGCTTGTCTGGGCCTCATTTCATACCTGGGAATGAGCTCAGTGGGTAGTCAAGGCCTAGAGATCCTGTCGCACCCCCAAATTCAGAGCCCCAAATCATTGGAGAGTGGTCCATTTGCACCTGACTCCAATTTAGGGTTGTGAATTAAATATTAAAAAATACACAAAAAAAGACTTCACTGGATACAAACAGTGGGCTGTTTTAAATTAACCTCATTTGGACTTCCGCCAAGATGGAGACATAGGTGGAGACACGGTGCTTTCTCACACAACCAAGTTTAGAGACAATTAAATATTAGCAACAGAAAACACAGCCAGAACACAGAAAATTAAACTTTTCGGAAGTCTGATAACAATAAATTCTTCAGCCTGACCGGTAAGAGGGGTGAGACCAGCAGCTGGAGGAGCCGGGTTGCACAGGAAAACTCGGTCAGACAGACTCAGGCGCATGGAACCCAGGCGCAGGGTTGGACCTAGTGAGCAACCCAGCAAGCGACCACGGGGAAACAGCGAGGGAGCAGGGCTGTGGGTTGACTGTGGTCACGCATTACTGCTCAGATAGACAAGTGAGGAAGTGGGTGATTAGATGGGACCCAGCAGGCCCCAGTGGCAGGCGGCAGCAGAGGGCGCCACCATTTCCCTGCTCTGATCCCACCTCCACATGCAGCTTCATAACCCAGCGACCTGAGTGGCCCTGCCCTGGTGAACCACCTAAGGCTCGGCTCCTCACCCAGCGGTGAGAAACAGCAGAGAGGGTCGCCATTTCCCTGCTCTAATCACACCCCCACATACAGCGTCGCAACCCAGCGACCTGGGAGTCCAAGGCTCTGCTCCTCATACTTAACGGATGCAAACAGACCAAAAATGGTTCAAGAAGATCTCAAAGCCCCAGAGCCTATAAATCTAAGCAATGAAGAAATAGCAAAACTCTCAGATGCACAGTTCAAAACACTGGTGATCAGGATCCTCACAGTACTGGTTGATTATAGCCACAAATTAGAGAAACATATGAAGGCGAAACTAATTGAAATGAATGGAATTGCACAGGAAACCAATAGCAATGAAAAGGAAACTGGGACTCAAATTAATGGAGTGGACCAGAAGAAAGCAAATAATGGCCAAACAGAAAAGAGTGAAGAAGCAAGAATTCAAAAAAATGAGGACAGGCTTAGGAACCTCCAGGACATCTTTAAACGCTCCAACATCCAAATTATAGGGGTACCAGAAGGGGGAAGGAACAGCCACCAGTGGAAAACTTATTTGAACAAATAATAAAGGAAAATTTCCCCAATCTGGCAAAGGAAATAGACTTCCAGGAAATCCAGGAAGCTCAGAGAGTCCCAAAGAAGTTGGACCCAAGAAGAAACACACCAAGGCGCATCAGAATTATATTAGCCAAGATTAAAATGAAGGAGAGAATCCTAGAAGCAGCAAGAGCTAAGGGGACAGTCACCTACAAAGGAGTTCCCATCAGACTGTCAGCAGATTTCTCAAAAGAGACCTTACAGGCAAGAAGGGGCTGGAAAGAGGTATTCCAAGTCATGAAATCTAAAGACCTACAACCAAGATTGCTCTATCCAGCAAAACTTTCATTTAGAATGGAAGGACAGATAAAGTGCTTCTCAGATAAGATCAAATTCAAGTTCATCATCACCAAGCCCTTATTATATGAAATGTTAAAGGGACTTATCTAAGAAAAAGAAGATAAAAAAAAACATGAACAGTGAAAGGACAGCAAACTCACACTTATTAAGAACCACACCTAAAACAAAAGCAAACTAAGAGGACAGCTAGATCAGGAGTGGAAACATAGAAATGAAGATCTCATGGAGGGTTAGCAACAGGGGAGTGGGAGGAGGAGAAGGGGGGAGAAGGTACAGAAAATAAGTAGCATAGACAGTAGATAGAAAATAGATGGGGGAGCAAGAATAGTATGGGAAATATAGAATCTAAAGAACTTGAGACACATGGTCATAAACTAAAGGGGGTAATGGGGGGGATGGAGGGGTAGGGTGGAGGGGAATGAAGGGGGGGAATAGAACAAGTGTAATGGCATAATCAATAAAAATAAATAAATTTTAAAATAGGATAAAATAAATTAACCTCATTTGATCTTAGTTAGATATTTATATACTCATATAATTTAAATTTAAAGCCAGTGAGTCCACTGAAAGCCCCTTCTGCTTCACCCTGGATATCACAGGAGGCCCTGAAAGGTATGGGGTGTGTCCAGGGTCCAATGGGGGAAGGGTTAAAATTCACAGTCATCCAGGGCCTGGCTCCTGGGTTCACCACCTTCAGTGTCTCACTAGTGCTTCCAAGTTTTTTTTTCTTTTCTTTTAGCTCACATGCACTGGGTTAGTTTGGGGGGTTTAGACAGTAACGGCTAATATTCAGGCATTTGAATTTTAAGCCAAACTTGAAGTCTACATGCTTGTCCTTGGTTTCTCTTTCTTTCTTTTACCTCAGTGGGAGTTGATTCTACTTTTACAAATTTGTATTCCTCCCTCCCCAGATCCACACTAAGCTAACTGGCCACGGGTCAGGAAGGTGTTTTTGCTCTGTGTCCTTATGTTGTCCTTCCTTAGGTGGCAGCATAGCCCTGTGTTGGTGCTCTGTGCCTGGCAGACCTATATGTCATCTGAATCTGATTTATGTTCTTGGCCCTGACTGGTTCCAGGGGAAGCAGTCTGGGAAGTGTGGATGTGTCCTGTGGTGGTACTCTAAGACTCACCAAAGAGCTCTCGGAAATCAGGTGGGCACCTTCTGGAGTCCATCCTGTATTTTTGGCCTCAGATAATCTCAGTGTCCCTTGGTATCTGAGAATAATAGTTTGTCAGCTCTCATGTAGTAAGTTAGGATTAACTGATAACACTTCCCTTGTGGCAGCTGCAAACACCAAATCACTTCCCAGGTCCTCCTCAATCACTTAGGAACTTGGCCTGTGTTGAGAGGCCATCTCTGAGCCGGTAAGGACTAGCTGTCCAAGTTCTTCAGCATTTTTGGTGCCTTTCTTCAGCTTTGCTGCCACCCTTGCTCTTAGGTGGTGTGATCTTATCACTGGACCCCCTCCTCTTTTTTTTTTCTTTTTTCAGAAGCCAGGTCTCAACACCCCAGCTGGGGTCTGTCCAGGATCAGTACAGAAGCCTGAGCTGGTCTTTATTAGAAATGGATGTTCCCAAGGCACCCTCTGGTGGATTTTGGAGTTGAAAGTCTGTGAATTCCAAGTGATGGCCAGGGTCCTAGCATCGAGCCCCAGAACCTTCCTTTGGAATGAGACTCTGCATGAACATTACAACTATGTGGGCAAGCTGGCCAGCCGGCTGAAGGATGTCCCTGAGGGCAGCACCCTCACCACTGTGCTGTTCCTGGTCATCTGCAGCTTCATTGTCCTGGAGAACTTGATGGTTCTGATTGCCATCTGGAAAAACAATAAATTCCACAACCGCATGTATTTTTTCATCGGCAACTTGGCTCTCTGTGACCTGTTGGCTGGCATTGCCTACAAGGTCAACATTCTGATGTCAGGCAAGAAGACACTGAGTCTCTCTCCCACAGTCTGGTTCCTGAGGGAAGGCAGCATGTTCGTGGCCCTCGGGGCATCCACTTGTAGCTTACTGGCCATCGCCATTGAGCGGCACTTGACCATGATCAAAATGAGGCCATATGATGCCAACAAGAAGCATCGAGTCTTCCTTCTGATTGGGATGTGCTGGCTTATTGCGTTCTCACTGGGTGCCTTACCCATTCTGGGCTGGAACTGCCTGAACAACCTCCCCGACTGCTCCACCATCCTGCCCCTCTATTCTAAGAGATACATCGCCTTCTGCATTAGCATCTTTACTGCCATCCTGGTGGCCATAGTGATGCTGTACACACGCATCTACTGCCTGGTGAAGTCCAGCAGCCGCAGGGTGGCCAGTCCCCACAACTCAGAGAGGTCCATGGCCCTGCTACGAACTGTGGTGATTGTGGTAAGTGTGTTCATTGCCTGCTGGTCCCCACTTTTCATCCTCTTCCTCATCGATGTGGCCTGCAAAGTGAGAGAGTGTGCTGTTTTGTTCAAGGACAAGTGGTTCATTGTGCTGGCAGTGCTCAACTCTGCTATGAACCCTGTCATCTACACATTGGCCAGCAAGGAGATGCGGCGTGCTTTTTTCCGACTGATCTGCAACTGCCTGGTCAGGGCCCAAGGCATCAGTTCCTCACCTATCCAGCTTGCTCTTGATCCAAGCAAAAGCAAATCCAGTGGCAGCAACAATAGTTGCCCCTTCCCAAAGAGCAAGGAAGACATTCCTCAAACAGTCACTTCCATCTGCATAACTGACAGAAACAAAACCGTGCAGAACGGGATCCTCTGCAAGTGAGACCAAGTCTCAAGGTTCAGGGGTCTTCACAACTACACAGGAGGAGAGGCATCCAACTGTGCAGCCACGTACTTATTTATTACATGCTTGCCAGGGTTTCACCAGAGCCGAGACTCAGGACATCTGTTCCTGTCCCTTAAGGCTGGGACCCAAGGACTCACCAACTCATTTCAGTGTAGATGCCATTCCTTGTTCATTTCAGGTTCCAAAAACTTCCAAATGTACAAAGCTACTGATGTCATCGCCACCTTCTCCTGACTCCCACTGGTCACTCTCCAGTGTTCCTGGAAAGGGAAAGTCATGGGCCATTCTGTGTACAGTGTGTTTCCCAGGACACTGGGACAATGTTTGGCTAATCATACTATACTGACTGCTCCCAGAATGGATGCTGTGTGTCTGTCATCTGTGGGCTGTGTGGCATTGGTGTTTCACATTTCTGCTATGGGCACATGCAGAAGCTGCAGTACTCAGTGTAGTCAGCAGGTAACACAAGCATGTTCTGACCAAACCACCAGCTGGGACAGAAGCAAGAACAGACCCGTGGCCTGCGTCATCTTTCCAAGTTGCTTGAAGCAGCCATATGTTTAATGGAAAATGTCTATTGAATTAGGACAGAACTTTGATCTTATGTTAAGTTCAATTCTCTATCAGAAATACGCTAAGTCAGTACCCCTCATGTTGGCAAAGCTGGGGAGCTGGGGCCAGCAGCCATCTCATGACTTCTGGAAAACAGACCCTGACAGTCACTATTAGAACAATTCAACTGTCGAGGAAGAAAATGTGATCTGGTGATTTGCGCATTCTTCAAAGATATGTAACATCATAATCTTACCTTTCAGCATAGGTCCAGGCTGTGTCACTCTGTTAAAGGGACTGCCTGGAGGTATTTTTGTGTGTGCTCTTCCCCAGGGATCCTCTATAAATACAAACAGATGAAAAGAAGCACACATATGCAGAGCTCTCATTAGCACACAGTTGACATGTTGAATTCTTTTTTTTTTAAAGCAAAACAACCTTCAAAAGGATTCTTACTTAGGGAACCTCACATGAGAACCCCCTGATATTTTTAGGTTCAGTGAGAACATTGCCTGAGTAAATACTAAAAGAGTAGTCTTAACATACTAACTATTTTGAAGAAAATTTGACTCCTGTTTTATCTGATGTAAATTCCTCTTATTAAGGAATAGTTCCATGAGTACTGGGGGATCTCTATGTACTGACCAAAGACTTTCCTCATTTTATTACTGCTGAGATAAATCCTATTTGTAAGGAGATGTTCATCAGTGGCATTTTTTGTTACATTCTTTATATCACTGAAAAGGAGCTTATTCTTTTACCAAATAACTTAAGAAAGCCCAGGGCATTTCTAGAAAAGTTAAGCATTAAGGTACTGGCTTGCATGGCTCAGTGGGTGAGGTGTCACCTTGCAAACTGAAAGGTCACCAGTTTGGCTCCCAGTCAGGGTACATTCCTGGATTGTGGGCTATGTGTTCTGCCCCAGTCAGGGTGCTTGCAAAAGGCAAAAGACAACCAATCGATGTTTCTGCCCCCCTCTTTCTCCCTCTTTCCCCCTCTCTCTAGAACAAAATTTTAAAATTATTTTTAAAAAAAGAAAAATGGAGAGGAAGATGGTGACAGAGTAGGACAGAGTGGATTCCAGTTCCCCCTACACATGGGAGAAAAACCTGGCCAATCATGGAGGAGCAGAGCAAACAGCCAACAGTACCCCAGCATATATGAAAATAAGAGACCAAAAATTGTAGCGGACACTGAAAGACCTGACGGTAAGAAGATGGCTGCAAGACAGTAAGATCCGAGGGACCAGCGTGGAGACAGGAGGCAGCCTCAGACCACACCTGGTGCCCTGCCCTGGGTCTACCATGAACTCTTTGGGAACTGAGGGCTGGGACGCAGGGTCCTTGGGAGAGAGCCAGGTCATCAGCTCCCTCCCTCCCCAGCCAAGCAGGGTTTCAGCAACACCAGGAGAGACCTGTTCGCTTGAAGTTGCAGAGAGGGGAAAAAGGACAGGGAGGCAAACACAAGGGTCGTGATCCCCCTAGGAGTCTGTGGTCACTGGTTTGGGAGAATTGAGAGTCTCAGTGTCAGGCTCTGAACCCAATGATCACCTGTCTGGCTGGAGAATTGGGTTTTGCTGAATGGCAGGATGGAGTGGGAGGAATCTCTCAAACAGTAAACTGTTTGGGGGATCCTCCTGAGACAGCCACTTGGCCTACTCCCCACCCAGCCTGGCAGTGATCCCAAGGTTGGGTGGAAGGCCTTGCATTCCCCCATAGTGCTAGGAAGGGTTCACGCCCAAACCTACAGGACCCAAGCAGCCTGGCCAGACAAGAGCACCCACACCCCAGCCCACGACGATGACTCCTGGAGAAAGAGTGCTCTGAAGAAGACATGGATCCCCTGAGTGGGGTGCTGGGGAGAGGTGCCAGACTAGCTCCAAGGACAGTGCTCATGAGACTGGCTGGGTACACATCAGGAAGGGAGAAAGGCCCCTGAGCCAGCTGCAGCCAACAAGAACAAAAAAACTGGTTCGACCAGCTTGAAACCAAGAAAAGGTGTTTTTTTGAGTAATTTTTTATTTTTAAAATTTTATTATTGTTTTATCTTTCAATACCTTTTTGCTCTTTTTCCTTCTTTCTTGTTTTACTCCTTTCTTTCTTTCCAAACTTTTCACTTCTTCCTCCCTTCCCCCACCTTTGTTTTCTCCACAAGTGAGACAAAAAACTTAGAACTGCAAAATGACCAAAGAGGGGGCATCCCAACAGTAGACAAAGAGACAAATTTCATTTTGCTATGGCAGAGAAACAACAAGTTACTGCATATTTGTATTTTTTACTTTTTCATTATTCTTACAACTTTTATTTTAATAGTGTTTTTGTATTCTTTTTTCTGTATAGTCTTCTTTGCTTGGATGGTTATATTGTATCATTTGACAGGTTTCCCTGTTCTCTCTTACACAGTGTATTGCTAATTTACTATCCTTCACTTCACTATTGTTCCTTTAGCACACTACTCAATGTCCTATACTCCCTATTCTTGTTATCCAGATCACATAGATTTTGTCATATGATTGTTGCTCTAATATTATTGTAAATAATAGCTGTTCCATACAATTGTAAATACTTCACAACACCCCTTCCAGATCTTAGCCCAGTTCACAGTTTCTTGAACTCTATTACTATAGTGGTTAACTATTCTCTCACACACTACATCTACTTACTATCCTATACTCTCACCCTACCTCAGAATCTGACCTCCCATAACCTCACTATTTTCTAGATCCAACTCCCAATCCTTCCCTTCCAAACAAAAGTCTTATCTTCTTTCCATCCTTTCTTAAATGTGGCTAGTTGGATTGAAATTACTGTTAACACTATACATAGCCTAAAGATCTCCTATCTCTTCTCTACCAGCTGCTACTGTGAATATCACAAAATACTCTCCTGCTGTCATAAACCATTTTGCCTTCCCCTCCAACTGATCACAAAAAAAAAGTAGGTGGAAGTGGTGATGAACACCAGGATACCCACTGGAAGATGAAACCCAACAACGAAGGAACCACCAACAGAAAACAACAGAAGAAGGTGAAGGAGAGAGTGGAAACCACACAAACCTCAGTCCAAGATCTACCTGGAAATACAACTAAACAATGTACAAACTACACAGTGCAAACAACTGAACAACAGCAAAAGAGAACCCTAAAAACCTTGTACACATGGAAGAACTAGCTTCAACACAACCTGCCCTCACCAGCACAACAAATTACAACAGGTGGTGGACAGAGGGATTATCAGTTATCCAGCTGGTGGGAAGGACCCATAAGGAAAAGACCCAAAAACAACCAAAACCCTAAGACAAACACAGAGTCAACTTAAAGGACAGCCCAAGACCAGTAAGCTTGGGAGATAAAGGAGACTACACCACTGAATCTCACAGGTATTATACCACAGAAGTTCACACCATAAACACAGAAAGCAAAAACAAATCAATTTAAGAAGCCAAAGCCGACGAGAAGAGTCTCATAAACAATGAGAAAACAAAGAAACAATCCTCAAACAAAAAGAAAGAAGGAAGCCTCAGAAAGAATTCTAGATGAAATAGAGGCAAGTCAGCTATCAGATATTGAATTCAAAGGACTGGTTATCAGGAAGTTCAAAGAGCTCACAATGAGCTACCAGAAATTATAGGGGAGCTACAATGAACTCACCACAAACTATATCAACGTGAAAAAGGAAACAGAAATTATGAGCAAGGGCCAAAAGAAAATGAAGAATACAATTTCTGAAATGAAGAACACAGTATAAGGAATCAAACGAAAGATCAATGAAGCAGAAGATTGGATCAGCAAGGTGGAGGACAAAGTAGAAAAAAAACTTCCAGAAAGAGGAAGAAAAAAAAAAAGAGACCCAGAAAAAATGAAGTGGAATTAAGAGAAATACAACAAAATATGAAACATAATAATATCTGAATAACAGGAATACCAGAAGGAGAAGAAGAACAGGGGATAGAAAACCTATTTGAAAAAGTAATGATGGAAAACTTCTCTAATTTGATGAGAGAAAAAGTCACGCAAATTCAGGAATCACAGAGAGTCCCAATCAAGAGGAACCCAAAGAGGCCCACTTCAAGACACATCATAATAAAAATAGCAAAATTCCAAGACAAAGAGAGAATCTTAAAGGCAGCAAGGGAAAAAAGGAAGTAACATACAAGGGAGTCCCAATAAGGTTAGCTACTGACTTCTCAATGGAAACGCTCCAAACCAGAAGAGAACGGCAAGAAATATTCCAAGTAATAAGAACCAGAGGCCCACAACCAAGGCTACTTTACCCAGCAAGGCTCTCAATCAAGATAGAAGGCCAAATAAAGAGCTTCCAAGACAAAAGAAGTCTAAAAGAATATGCCTCCACCAAACCAGTTGTACAAGAAATACTAAAAGGACTCCTTTAAGGAAAGGAAGGAAAAGTGAGAGACAGAGAAGAACACAGGTACAAAAATGGCAATGAATAAGTACCTATCAATAATAACCTTAAACATAAATGGATTAAAAGCTCCACTCAAAAGACATAGAATAGCTGAATGGAAAAGAAAACATGACCCACACATATGCTGCCTACAAGAGACCCACCTCAGGACAAAAGACTTAGAGAGATTGAAAGTAAAAAACTGGAAACAAATTTTCCAAGCAAAAAGACAGGGAAAAAAAGCCCAGGTAGGAATACTCATATCAGAGACAAAGTAGACTTCAAAAAAAAGGGGGGGCTATAAAGAGAAACCCAGAAGGTCACTTCATAATATTCAAGGGAAGAATCCACCAAGAAAACATAAACATTGTAAATATATATGCACCCAACATAGGAGCACTCAAATATATAAAGAAAATCTTAAAGGACTTCAAGAAAGATACTGACAGCAACACAATTACAGTAGGAGATTTTAACACCCCACTGTAAAAAATGGACAGATCTTCCAAACAAAATATCAACAAAGATATTGTGGTATTGAACAACATCCTAGATGAAATGAACTCAACTGATATATATAAAGCACTTCATCCCAAAGAAGGTAAATACACATTCTTTTCAAATGCACATGGAAATTTTTCAAAAGTAGACCACATGATAGAACACAAAACAAGCCTCAATGAATTCAACAGAATTGAAATCATACCAAGCATGTTCTCTGACCACAAGAGACTAAAACTGGAAGCCAACCCTAAAGGAAAAAACCCAAAACACTCAAAATCATGAAGATTGAACAGCATGCTTTAAACACTGAATGGGTCAAGAATGAAATTCAGGAAGGAATCAAAAAGTTTCTAGAAACAAATGAAAACGAACTCACAACAAACCAAAACTTATGGGACACAGTTAAGGCAGTCCTGAGAGGGAAGTTTACAGCAATACAGGCCTACCTAAAAGAGATAGAAACATTTCAAACGAACAACCTAACAATATGCCTACAAGAACTGAAGGAACAACAACAAAGACAGCTCAGAACAAGTAGAAGGAAGGATATAACCAAGATCAGAGCAGAATTAAATGACATAGAGACTAAAAGCACAATTCTAAGGATTAATGAATCCAGGAGCTGGTTCTTTGAAAAAATAAACAAAATCAACAAGCCTTTAAGCAGGCTTATCAAGAAAAGAAGAGAGAGGACCCAAATAAACACAGTTGAAAATGAAAGAGGAGAGATTACAACTGATACCACAGAAATACAAAGGATTGTAAGAAATTACTATGAAGAACTGTGTGCCAAGAAATTTGAAAACCTAGGTGAAATGGAAAAATTTCTACAAAACAATAATCTTCCAAACTCAGTGAAGAACAAGTAGAAAGCCTGAACAAACCAATAACAGCAGATGACATTGAAGCAGTAATCAAAAAACTCTAATCACACAAAAGCCCTGGACCAGATGGTTTCACAGGAGAATTCTACAATGCATTTAAGAAAGAGCTAACGCCTATTCTTCACAGACTATTAAAAAAAATCCAAAATGATGGAAGGATCCCAAACCCTGTTTATGAAGCAAGCATCACTCTAATCACAAAACAAGATAAAGACACAACAAAGAAAGAAAACTTCAGGCCAATATCGCTGATGAACATAGACACTAAAATCTTCAACAAAATATTGGCAAACTGCATCCAATAATATATGAAAAAGATCATAAACAATGACCAAGTGGGATTCATCCCAGGGATGCAAGGATGGTTCAACATTTGCAAATCAGTAAATGTAATACATCACATAAACAAAAGCAAAGACAAAAATCACATGACCATATCAATAAAGGCAGAAAAAGCTTCTGATAAGGTACAACACCCATTTATGATCAAAACACTCAGCAAAGTGGGAATAGAGGGAACATTCCTCAATATATTAAAGGCCATATATGAGAGACCTACAGCCAACATCATACTCAATGAGCAAAAACTAAAATCGTTTCCACTAAGATCAGGAACAAGACAAGGCTGTCCACTTTCATACTTGTATTCAATAGAGTATTGGAAGTTTTAGCCACAGCAATCAGACAAGAAAAGGAAATAAAAGGCATTCAAATTAGAAAGGAGGGAAAAAAACTGTCACTGTTTGCAGATGACGTGAGAGTGTACATAGAAAATCCTATAGACTCTACCTGAAAACTGCTCAACCTAATAAATGATTTTGCCAAACAGCAGGATACAAAGTCAATATCCAGAAATCAAAGGCATTTTTGTGTACTAACAATAAATCAGCAGAAGCAGACATCAAGAAAAAAATCCCATTCAATATAGCATAAAGAAAAATAAAATATCTGAGAATAAACCTAACCAAGGAGGCAAAAGACCTGTATGCAGAAAACTACACAACACTGAAGAAAGAAATCAAGGAAGACACAAACAAATCGAAACATATACCTTGTTCATGAATTGAAAGAATTAACATCATCAAAATGTCCATACTACCCAAAGCAATATACAGATTCAATGCAATACCTATTAAAGTACCAATGGCATATTGCACAGACATAGAATGAACACTTTAAAAATTTATATGGAACCATAAACGACCCCGAATAGCAGCTGCAATTGTCAGAAAGAAGAACAAAGTAGCAGGGATCACAATACCTGATACCAAACTGTATTACAAGACCACTGTAGTAAAAACAGCCTGGTACTGGCATAAAAACAGGCACATCACCAATGAAACAGAACAGAGAGCCCAGAAATGAACCTAAGTTTCTATGGTCAATTAATATTTGACAAACTGGGCAGTAACATAAAATGTAGTAAAAATAGCCTCTTCAACAAATTGTGTTGGGAAAACTGGACAGCTATATGCAAAAAAATGAAACTGGAGCACCAACTTACACCATACATTAAAATAGATTCAAGATAGGTAAAAGACAAATATAAGCCATGACACCATTAAATTCCTAGAGGAGAACATCGACAGGAAAATATCAGAGATATCACACAGCAACATTTTCACTGATATGTCCCCTAGAGCAAGGGACATAAAGGAAACAATAAACAAATGGGATCTCATCAAAATTAAAAGCTTCTGCACAGCTAAAGAAAACTGTATTATAATAAAAGAGAACCAACTGTATGGGAAAACATATTTGCCAATGATACCTCAGACAAGGGTTTAATCTCCAAAATATACAAAGAACTTATACAACTCCACTCTAAGAAGACAAGAAATCTAATTAAAAAATGGGTGAAGGACTTGAACAGACACTTCTCTAAAGAGGACATACAGAATATCCAGAGACACATGAAAAGATGCTCAATATCACTAGCTATCAAAGAGATGCCAATTAAAACCAGAATGAGATACCACTTTATACTGGTCAGAATGGCCATCATAAACAAAGCAACAAACAACAAGCGTTGGAGAGGATGTAGAGAAAAAGGGACCCTAGTTCATTTATGGTGGGATTGTAGACTGTTACAACCACTATGGAAAACAGTATGGAATTTTCTCAGAAAACTAAAAATGAATCTGCCTTTTGACCCAGCAATTCCACTGCCAGAATTATATCCTAAGAACTTTGAAATACCAATCCAAAAGAACCTATGCACCCCAATGTTCATAGCAGCACAATTTACAATAGCCAAGAGGTGGAAGCAACCTAGGTGCCCATCAATAAAGGAATGGATCTGAAAACTATGGTACATTTATACAATGGAATTCTATGCAGCAGAAAGAAAGAAGGACCTCCTACCCTTTGCAACAGCATGGATGGAACTGGAAAGCATTATGCTGAGTGAAATAAGCCAGGCAGTGAAAGACAAATACCATATGATCTCACCTTTAACAAGAAGCTAAACAACAAAACAAACAAGCAAGCAAAATATAACTGAAGACACTGAAATAGAGAACAGGCTGACATGGACCAGAGGGGATAGGGGACAGAATTTCAGGAGAAAAGGGGAAGGATTTACAGGAAGTAGTATAAAGGACACATGGACAAAAACTAAGGGGGGTGGTGGAAATGGGAGGGAGGTGGAGAGCACGGGGGGGTGGGCTGGAATGGGAATAAAAGACAGAAAACTGTACTTGAACAACAATTAAATTTTAAAAATGCATCATAAAGCCAAAATGTTGGGTATTACATTTTGCTTAGGTTATGACATAACTTTAGTACTTTCTATCTTGGTTCTGAGTTGTTTTAGAGGCCCTGGATCTCTGGTGCTAATATTAATATCACTTTGCACTATAGCCACAACTTTCTTTTAAAATAACACAAACCTGTTAAGCAATCTGAATGAAAAATACTCAAAAGAAGTAATTATGTTCATTTGATGTGTACAAAAATAACTGTAACACCAATGTGTATTCTCCTAACTAGCTAGCTGGAGTTCATTTAGAAGTCAAGTGTTTCAAAGCCATGGAGAATCTGCTCGTAAATCTCATTCAGTTAGTAACCATTATTGTGTCCCATGTATATTTATTAAAAAATAAAACTGAAAGCTTTTGTATAAACTGTTGTTGGGAGTCCATTTGGGGGCTGTGTAAGGTGACCATTTGGCCTCTCACCTGGTACCGGCGTCTCTTCAGGAGTTAAACCGTTCTCAGAACCCTGACAACCTTTCCACACTATGCTCCCTACTGGTGTATCATGTGTTTAGTCAGCCTATTTGAAGGTCTATAGAGTGTTATTGGACAGGGACAAGATTGTGGAAGCCATGGCAGTCAAGGTAGGACCAAGAGATGGGACATTTGGTCCTGCTCCATTTGCAAAAGGAGAGAAGAGGTCAGAACTGGCCCTTTGCCCAGCTTTCTGTTTTACAAACACTAAGTTTTAGAGTATGTGTGTGTGTGTATGTGTCCTATATTCTATAGAGAAAGATGTCAGCATTTGGCATAACTAGCATGGTGGTAACAGTCATGAATGAATCTCCCCAAAACAACCAAGGACCAAGCCTTCTGTCACCTCTGATTCTGTGCAAGGCCCATCAGTGAACATAATTCCCCTCAGGTACACTTCTGCCCTCCTGCCGCTTTCTCTCCACACCCTAGGCCAATTAAGAAGTCTCCTGGAGAATCACTGAGCATATCTGCTTTTTGTGCAAAGGTTTCAAATTCCCTTCCTCCCTGTTGAGGCAATACAAGATCCACCATCTACATGAGAGACTTTCCACGATATTCTTTATTGCCCACAGAATTATAATGACAGTCATTTAAACAATGGATGATATAGAAACAGTTGGTATCTCATCCTTTGACCCATGGTTATACTGCGCTGACAAAAAGCTTTTCACAGAAATATAACAAGGTGTATTTTATAGAAAACTTCTAAATAAGTTACCAAGTCCATGCTTTGAAATTTCTTGGAGTGCAAAACCTCAACCCAATGTTTTAGTATCTAAGTCAGAGATCAAAGTGTTTGCTACTAGTCAGAAATGCACACACCACTATTGTGAAAATGAAGGCACATTTTCCAATAATCAATGATAAGTGCAGCATTGCCTACATTGCTGACAACCTCCCTCTTGGGACAGAATGATGACACGGGGATGCCAAGAAGCCCCTGCACTAGGCTACGTCAGAGGCACATGGATGTGCCAAGTGCACCATTAAGGGCCTGCAACTGGAAATCACATAATTTCCTGGAGGAGTGAAGTGGGTTCTTAGAAGGTGAGTAGAGAATTTAAGCCAATTTTCTTCCCTGTTGGATTGCCAAATCTCCCAAATATTGACCAAATAACTTCAGTGTTATCATTTTTCATGAAGCAGAGATGAGAAAACTTGAAATCACTTTTGTATTTCTACTCCTCGGGGATTTCCAAAGGCCCATTCTATTATAATATCAAAGTAGAAAGTGGTGAATTGGCAATAAACCTAGACAGACAACTTTACAGTAATTATTTTCTGTTCCTCAAAAGTTAGTGTAAAACCAAACACAACATTTTAAAATAATGTTTATCAATATGTATAATTTGTCATCCAAAAGCCTTTTTTAAAAGGAATAAATATCTTATTACACATTAAATTTATGCAAAGTTCTTACCTAATCCTTGGATTTAAAGATCAGATGTTTAATTCATGTTTAAATCTGAGTACAAACATTTACATACTTAATTTTACAATATTTATTCTAGAATAAGTCATATTCAAAAGTCAAATGAACAGAGAACCTTCCATTTGCAATTAACACGGAATTGTTACCAGGTAATTTAATTTTAAGGATAGACTTTTTTTCCATTGATTTTTGCTTTAAATCTCTTGACTCGGTGGTTAGAACCTCTGGTTGTGGTGACATGTCCCAGGTAAGCATGAATGAATCACCTCACCCCTCAGGACAACAGCACGTGTTCCGACATGCTAATTTTTCTGCCTGTAGTATTTTAAGGTGACACAACAAAACAGGACTTAAACTGAGATTTCATTTCCCACATGAGAATGGCTCTTCTAGCCCCCCAGGAGGAAGCACTATGTTTTGGGGGAATTAACGAATTCATTTATTTGGGGCCCCTGTGAACGCAGGAAGAGAGAAGTGACAGCAGCTTCACTTCCAACACCCCTGCTAACACCAGCCATTGTGCCTGTGTGAGGGTGTCCTGCCTCCTTCTGGGCCTCCAGGTTTTTTCTTCCTGCAGTCATGCTCAGGTCTCACCTGCCCTTCAGTTTGCAAGGCCTTCAGACTCCCCAGGTTCACCCAGGAGCTCCAGTCTCCACAGTACTATTGGACTCAGCCACAACACCATCAAGCTTGTCACACCAACACTCCGTGTATGTTTACTTCCTACTGGATTACACTCTCAGGCAGGCAGAACCCCCATCATTTACTTCTCTATCCAAGGAGCCCAGCATAGTGCCTGTCACATGTGAACTAGTATATAGACAAGACCAAGAGCAGACTGGATAGAAACACCAAGAAGTGGCGCCAAATACACAGCTGCCCCCTGACCTCCGCAGCATGCTGCATTGAGGACAGCCTCTGCTATGCCTGACTGCCTGTTTTTCCTCACTGGCCTCCTACAGACACTACACACTGACAGATAAATACAGGTCATTAGCCTGGAGTTGACTGTATACCCCCTTCTTTTTAGCTTATCTTCCTTCACCCTCTGTCCTCTCTTCTCATCTTCCTTTACTAGCCTCTCTTCCTTCATGTACCTCTGTCATTTTCCACAGTGGGTCCCTCCTGTCTTTTTTCTGTAAAACCCAGGACCCTCCTCCAGATGTCTGTGAATGCCAGGATACGTCAGTCCCCAAACTCTTAACATTTGTTTAATGTCCTACTTGTCCTTGTTAGTCAAAATGTCAAAACCCAGGGAGGAGTCTCAAGGTGCAAACTGCACAACTAACCTTCATGTGCACACAGATAGATGCACACCCATCAAACAATGCAGGTACATATATGTGTAGATACACATATGTGACTGACATTCACAAATCCTCATATGAAGTTGCCATTTTTCTGGCTGCTATAAATTGTACTTGTTTTAAAACTATTCATGACATTGCTTGAAAACTTATAAATATGTATAAATCTCATTATAAATAAATTGTGGCCGGTTGGTGGCATTTTATCTTCCAGTAATGACTGAATCAAGTTACAAATGCTAATTATTAATCTCCCACTTTTACACTCACAGCATGGACCCTTAGAACTATGACATGAAGTAGCATGAAAACACAGGGTATGGCAAAAGTAGGTTTACAGTTGTATGTGAAACAATGTGTTCTTGTATTATCATTTATTAATTATTGTATTATCTTCCATACAAACAACTGTAGATCTACTTTTGCCCCACCCTGAATAATCACAGAGGGGGAAAGCCACCGATAAGGGACACATAAGGGCTGGCAACTCACAATGGTGGTTCTCAAAGCCCAGAATGCCCATCAGCATCACTCACAATTTATTAGAAATGCAAATTATTGGGCCCCATCCAGACCCCAAGATAGGCATGCAGTCAGAAAACATGTGTCAATAGTGTCCCTGAGCCTGAGGGCCTTTTCAAGGGACCACACAAAGTGCTGTCCTGCCCCCAGGTCTGCCCTTCCTTTACATGCTTTTTTCCCCGCACATGGCTTGTCACTTTCTGTCCTCATTGGAAATTATCAGTGGTGACCTTTTCTACCAGGAAACCTTTAAGACACCATATGTTTCCCAGTTGGGTCTTTGTCCATTTACCCCAACATCAAGATGGCCTTAAACAGAATTGTTGCTCAAATGAAACATGAGTCAAGACTCAGTGCAAACCAGTCGTTTGGCTTCTCGAATTTAAAAAAATGGCCAGAAGCAGTAGCTTAGGCACAGGGTATAGACTGGCAACTGTCTCGATGCATTGTTTATCAGCCTGCCTACGGAGATATTCAGGTTCTCCTTGGTAGGCAAGCATCAAAGTTGACTTAAAACAGGGATGATGATGAATGGCCTCATATGAGGCCCCACAGTCTCTCAGTAGGACCAGAATGCAATCTGAAGCATAGGTAATTCATACAGGATGGTGCAGGTGGGAAGGGAGGTGGATAGGGGGTTCTAGGGCCATTCCACAAACTGTGACATTTTAGGACTGCTGGACCTACCTTGTGTTTCCAGCAGACACAGAGGCCTGGGTTGAGTGTCAGGGGTCCCATGAGAAAGGCAGCAGGTCTGGAGCATCCTGTATGCCCAGGGTGGCTCTGCACAGCCACGGTATATGTGCCCTGGGCATCAGGAGTGTTGGAACACATGCTGAGTGCTACTCTGCCTGCCTTTGCCCAGGCAGGAACACAGCTGGAGAAAGTGCTGGAGGAAGGACCCATTCTGGATGGGGAGGAGGCCCTATCACATCTGCCTCCAAGTCTTGAGCTCCAAGCTCAGCAGAGCTGGAGAGATGAGGAATAAACAGAATAGCTCTGATGTTCACCAACCACGAGGCCTTGAACAAGTTGGAGCCTCAGTTTCCCTGTATGTGAGTGAGGCTCACATTTATGCTCATCACACGTACCTGAAGGAGGAGATGAGATGACTCATGCAAGCTCTAACAAGCTTTACAAATGGAGTGAGCAAAGACAGGAAAATCATGGCTGTTTGCCATATCTCAAATCTGCTTCCCAGGGTGTCTGTTCATTGGAAGCAACCTTATAATCTGAGCTTTAAAAGTCATATTTTGAGTTTATTTGAAACAAACTTAGGTCCCCAAGTACTTTTAATTTTCTAAATTGATTCTCATGAAAAAACCCATCACATGTATGTGTGTACACACACACATTGCTTATCACTGAGATAAACACTAACTTCAGAGCAGAGAGCTACTTAAACTGCAGGTTCCCAAGAGGAAAAGTAAAACAGGTCAGGTGTTCAGGGGCTCATGGTTTGTAACTCCCCCTTGCCTACTTGCTCTTGCCCTGTCACACTAGCACTGCAGCCTTGCAAGTGGGGCATACAAGACTGTAGAAAAGAAAGCTATTTTGTCTGTTTTTACATGTGTGCATCCCATACACAGAGAAGGCTCATGCTTCCTCACAGAGTCAGATGATTATGAGCATCCACAGGCCTCTAAGAAGGTAGCACAGGGCCATTATCACCACCATTCCAAAGTCTGTGTTGTCACACGGCAGAAGGCAGGGCCAGCTGCTATTCCCATTCAGACCCCATGTTCTAAGTAACTTGGAGCAGGGCATCTGCACTGTACCTGGAACCATTCCAGGAAGCAGCAGAATGGCCTATATTAGTTCCAATCCACTGTGGAACACTCTAGAAGACTGGAACCACTGTCACCTTGAATTCACTGGAAACTCAAAGAGCAAAATCTCCAAGGAAGGCTACATACTCAGCCTTGACCTTGCTCTGATCCATCCTTTCCATCAGCTATATCTCACCCTCCCACCCTGGCCACAAATCTCCAAAAATGGAAATGGAGTTCATACACAGGAATTTTACAGAATTAGTACTCTTCAGAATTGTTTAAATCTACCCTTAACTCCTCAGCCCTGAAGCACCAAAGTTATTACTATTTAAGTCCAACTGTGTAGAGACCATCTCTGTGCTCAAGGAGGTGGGAGTGCTCTGGGATGTCTCTAGGACGGGGGCCAGCATGGCAGCACCAGTGACAAGGTGCCAGCACACAGATGAATCCTATCTTTTAAAAGACATTTGTTCAGTCACATGGTGGTCTCATCCCAGGTATATTTTAAAGGTCATAAACATTGTCAACTTCCTAACACCAAAAGATCCAGCAAGAAACCACAATGTTTTATCTCCAAGAAAAGAGCCAACACTCAGCACTGCATGGGGCATACACCTTTACTTGGAGTGACTGGGAAACCTGTTGTAGAGATAATCAGTCACCTTACCCACCAATCACTCCAGAAAATTTTCAAATTGATTCTCACAAATGCCCAGCTTCAGGCAACCATGGGCCCAGGAGAAATAACTGGCCAATGCCAGTGTCTCCAGGACAGAACTGTGAGCACGTGAGTGCCCTGTTTAGCACAGTTCATACATATACTTTTTTCTCTACTGACTATAAGAAGATGAGGGGCAACTTTATCAATAGCTACTGAAGCAGTCTGGAATCAACCGGTCAACCAGAAAGATGTACAAACCAATGCTTTGACAAACCACCTCATTTTGAGGCTTATTTTCACTAACCTTCATTAGTGAGGCTTATTTTATACCATATTTGGCAGTAAAATGCATTCCAAAGAAATTCTGAACAACCAAGGTCATGGGGGACAGCGTTCCTGGGCTCAGCATGACTCAAAACAGGTAATGTGACACCTGCTCCTTAGAGTAGCTATAGGAACCCTCTGGTGCTGGATACCCTCATACACGCAGGTGTGATGCAGACAGCCCAAGAGGCATCTGGGAGGAGGAGGGACAGCCATTAGAACCAACACAACACTGCTTTGCATGCAGATTTAGACCTCTTTGGGTAGCATCTCGTCTGATTCTATTACAACCCTGTGTCAATTACCAACTCTCCTGCTTGCTTCTACTCCCCTCTTTGTGCTTATTGGTAAACTTCAGATAAAAACTTCTTAGTGAACTTTCCCAGTGGAATGGGTCAGTTGAATTAAATTTGTGCCCAGACAACTACAGTCAAACATTTTTTCATTAAAAACATACAGCACAGAACATTAGCCTTACTTCTTTCTTAGTCTTAAAAAGTAGAAAAACATCATTTGTACAGGATGTATAGGTATTTACACCTTCGATATGCACATGAGAAATCAGAAGAAATTTATGAACTCTGTACTTTACACACACTTTCCTCCTGGGGCTTTGGAATAAGGCTCTAAGCACGTGAGCAGCTGCCTGAGTTCCTATTGCCTGATACACATCTACCAGAAAGAACCGAGTCCTCCTGACCATGACGCATGTCAAGACATGGCCTCTGGCTGGTCACAGGTTCTTCTCCACAGGCTGCTGGAGGCATAGCTCGCTCCCAGAGGAGATGATGGGCAGGCTGTTCTCCAGATGGTGATTGATGAGGTGGCTGATGCTGTCGAAGATCTTGTCCTTTGTCCGGATCTGTAAAGGATAGAGGGAAAGTTAGTATCACCCACAGGTGGAAATAAAAGAACATAGCTTGCTTGGTGTCAGCCAGATTATCTGAACTGGAGGGTCACTTCCCAGGGGTCTGGGGGCCCCCCACATTCTGAGAGATGGTGTCTGCAAAATCCTTAGTAACTAATGTTGGCCATTCTATTCAGTCTGCTCATCTGTCCACCCCTCTGGGACTGAGCCACAGCCTCTAGCACCTTCTACCACCAGGTACCATGGTGAGCTCCCCTACTCCCTACCAGCCTTCTCTTCCCTGCTTTCCTCCTGATCTCATAGGGTCCACCACAGAAACCTTGGTCTAGCTTTCCTGCACCACTCACTGAGATCTGCAGGCTCCCAGGCCTTCCCACCTGCAGGCTTTTGCATAGCTGTCCCTGAGGGCCACCACCGCACACACCCATACACACACTGAGCTGGCAGACCCTGAGTATAGACCACACCTGAAGAAGACAGCATAAAGCCTGGCCAAGAGCAATCCCCTAGCAAACTCTGAATGCAGGCCCCTGGGGCCTGCTTCTATGAGAGTGAGTTGGAGATGAGGCAAGGAACATGTGCCTAGCTATACCCATTCACCCTCCAGGCCTTCACATGGCCCTTGTGGTTGGTCTGGAATGCCTGGGCATCCTGACCTCTCTCTCTACTTTATTGTTGGGAGCCCATCTCTCCATTGCAGCAACCAGCTATCTCTCACCACTCCTTCAGGGACTCCAAAGACATGTTTATTCTTCTATTGACCTACTTGTCCTAATATTCTCTTTTCCCAAGCTCTTAATCTCTCTCTCCTTCTCTAAAATAGCCAGTCTTATCTCCCCCCCTCCATAATCTCACCAATGGGACATTGCTCTCTGGGCCTTCATCCCCAGATCTCACTTCTACCCCAAATCTATGCTCCAGGTGTACATATCAGAAACCCCTGCCCAAGCCATCTGCTCTAGGCTCTACCAATTAGTGGCCAAAGGCAATAGCAAAAACTTTGAAATTGGGATGCCTTCCTCTCCTAGGATCCAATTCTGAGGCTGGCCCCCTCCCCACCCAACTCTATAAGTACCAGAAGGAAGAGACCACCCAGGCTGGGCTCCTCGGTATTAAGCCTCATTAAAAATGTAATGTCATTGACACATTCAAAGAGGAACTTTTTGTAGGACTTTCTGGCATCTTTCCAATGAGGTTGTTTAATCTTCCTGGAGCTCCTTAGAATTCCCAGACCAGAAACACCACTTGAGTGACATGGGCAGGCAAGCCCTTCCTTGGAAGCTGGGAGCATCCAGCTCAACTTGAGACAGTATTGTCAGTGTGTTGACATTGAATCCTTATTCTCACTTCTTAGCAATTAACACTAATGCAAATTCTGGGGCAGCCGGGGTAGATTAAGGAGGATTTATGACAGGAAAGTGTCTTGGACAGCAGTCTCAATGTAGGCTCAGGTCTAAGGAGCTCTAAACTCCACCCAGACCAACTCTATAAGGAGTCTGATGTGGGGCTCAGACACCATGTTTTACGCTACATCCATGATTCCAACATGCCACCCAAGCTGAGAACTGTTAGTCAGTGTTTTTGGAGTATTTGGACTGGCTAACAGAAATACACGTGAAAACACAGGCACACTAAAGAGATAAGTTATAAAATTACTGCCTAAAGAAATAGGTCAGTTCACTTTTTTCCGATAAGCACTCAGTGAAACCTGCATCTGTCTCCTGCCCAGAGAACTTGCCACCCACAGAGCTCTTTGTGCACCCACCTACCATGTGCCAGAAGTGCCAACAGCTGATTAAAATCACTCAGTAGCCCAGAAAAACCTACAACAAACTTCTCCAGGTATCTGAATGGATTCTGCTTTGGCTATGACACACAGACTATTACCCCAAACAAATGTGTGAGGCTCTATATCACAAAGAGGGAGCAAACATGAAGATAAAACCCTTTGTTTTGTTAGACTATAGGAGACTTGACTAAAATATGAATATATTGGAAAAGAAGAAAGGTTTGAAGGTAATCTAAGCTTCCACCCTAGAAAACTAGAAAAAGAAGAGGGATAGTGGGGGAAAATATGGAAGGTCCATCAAGGAACATGTATAACGAACACATAGACAAAGCCAAAGGCAGTAGATTCAAGGGTTGGAGGTGGGAACGGTTGGGGCAGAGGGTTGTGGTGGGATGAAAATGGAGAACTATACATGAACAACAAAAATAAAAAATAAAAAATAATAAAATAATAATAACAAAAAAGAAAAAACAAAGATCCTAAATCAATAACTTAACCTCCTACATTAACACACTGAAAAAAGAAGAATGAAATAATCTAAAACAAGTAGCAGAAAAAGAAATCACAAAGATTAGATCAGGGATAAAACAGAGAATAGAAAAATAATAGGAAAAAATCAATGAAAACAGAGGTTGATTCTTTGAAAAAATTAACATAATTGACAATCCTTTAGCTGTACTGAGCAAAGCCACAGTGGAAAGAGGGGAGTGGTAACTGTCCATTAAAAAAAGTCCAGGACCAAATGACTTTACTGCTGAATTTTACCAACTATTTATAAAATTACATAAAGTGTTCAGAAACTTTCAAAAACATAGAAGATGAGGGAATGCTTCCAAATTCTTTGAAACTTTTCATGAGGCCATTATTACCCTAATACCAAAGCCAGACAAAGAAACTATGAGAAAAGAAAAATAATTAATAATAAAATTAATTAATAAAAGAAAAGTAGATTAATATTTAATGAATATGATGAAAAAATTGTCAACCAAAAATACTATCAAAATAAATCTATCAACATAGAAAAAGAATTATATATGATGAGCAAGTGGAAATTTTCCTAGGATTGCAAGGCAGGTACAATATCTGAAACATTAAGGAATGTAAACAACATGTCAATAGAATTAAAAAATTATCTCACTAGGTAAATAAAAAGCATTTGACAAAATCCATTGTCCTTTCATGTTAAAAAATGTATGCAGAAAATTAGGAGTACAAGAAAATTTTCTTAACCTTATAAAGGACATCCATGAAAATCCACGGTTAATGTCATACTTCATGGTGAGAGACTATATTCTTTCCATTAGAATCAGTAGGAAGATAAAGATGTCAACTCTTGCCACTTCTATTCTACATTGTATTAGGTGTTCTAGGCAGGCAATTACTTAATAGAAAAAATAAAAGACAACCAAATTTGAAAGACAATGTAAAAATTAGTCTATTCACAGATAACATAATTGATATATAGAAAACCCTAATGAACCCACTAAAAATATTAGAACTAATGAATTAGTTCAGCACATTTGTAAGATACAAGAACAATATTCAAAAGTCTATTGTATTTATCTACAATAAATACTATTTATCTAAATAAATACAATAAATAAATACTACTTGCAATGAGTACTATGAGAATAAACTGGAGAAAATAATTTCATTCACAAGAACATCCAAAAAACAAAATATTTAGAATAAATTTAACAAAAAATGTATAAAATCTATACTCTGAAAACTACAAAACACTATGGAAATAAATTAAAGAAGAAGATGTAAATAAGTGGCAAAGCAACACATGTTTATGAATCAGTGGGCATAAAGAATCCTGTCTTCCAAATATTGGAGATTTGTGTTTATTAATTGCTACTTCTGATCACAGACCTGAAAAGAAATAGTGGCTATTTTTGCACCTTCCCCAATTGTTCCATGACCAATAAGTGACTTCCAAGAGGTTGAAAAAGTTGTCTTTTCTTTTCCTCCATTGCACTAATTTCAATTTCCTCCTTTCCTGGACAGACAGTAAAGACTAAGACATCCAAAGTAGCTGCATACATAGGGAAAATTAGAAAAACCACTGTGCAGCCCCTGGGAAATATGCAGACTCACAAAATCTCAGAAAAACCTTAAAGTTACACCCCAGGCTAACCCTCAGCACAGACCTAAAACAAAAAAAAAAAGGAAAAGAAAACACTGGGGAATGGGAGAGAATTTGATTCCCAAAGTCATATTAGATATTAGATTCAAATGTTCAGTTTTCAATAACAACAAAAAATCACAAAGCATAACAAGAAACAGAAAAGTATGTCTTACTTAAAGAAAAAAACAAACAAGCAAAAACAGTCTCTGAAAAGGACCTAGTGGCATATCTAATAGACAAAGATTTTAAAACAACTGTCTTACAGAAACACAAACAACTGTAAATGTGAAGTCAAGAAAAAGATGTATGCAAAAAAAGAAGAGAGAGGACCCAAAAAACCACAATCAGAGATGAAAGAGAAAAGATTACAACTGAAACCACAGATATACAAAGGATTATAAGAAATTACTATGAAGTATTTTATGCCAAGAAATTAAAAAACCTACGTGAAATGGACACATTTCTAGGAAAATATCATCTTCCAAAACTCAATGAAGAAGAAACACAAATCCTGAACAGACAAATAACAGCAGATGAAATTGAAGCACTAATCAAAAAACTCCTACCCCCACACAAACCCTTGACCAGATGGTTTCACAGGAGAATTTTACAAAGCATTTAAGAAAGAGCTAACCCCTATTCTTCACAGACTATTAAAAAAATCCAAAGTGATGGAAGACTCCCAAACTCTGTTTATGAAGTCAGCATCATCCTAATTCCAAAACCAGATAAAGACAACAACAAAGAAAAAAACTTCAGGCCAATATTGCTGATCAACATAGATGCTAAAATCCTCAAAAAATATTGGCAAACTGCATCCAACAATATATTAAAAAGATCATAAACAATGACCAAGTGGGATTCATCCCAGGGATGCAAGGATGGTTCAATATTTGCAACTCAGTAAATGTAATACATCACATAAACAAAAGCAAAGACAAAAATCATATGATCATATCAAAAAAGGTGGAAAAAGCTTCTGATAAGGTACAATACCCATTTATGATCAAAACACTCAGCAAAGTGGGAATAGAGGGAGCATTCCTCAATATATTAAAAGCCATATATGAGAGA